CCCCCCATGTAAATCTATATATTTAGTGCGAGCTAGTCTTACTCTGAGGTTATGGCTCCTGGGGTGCCCGAGCCCCAGGCCCTGACCCGTCCTGCGCCAGCCAACATCCCCACTCCAGGAAGGCTGCTTCCTCAGCTTAAATAACTTTTTTAAAATAAAACTGCAAATATAAATATCTTTCTTTCTCAAAAAATAGGATTTTTGCTTTTTTTTTTTTTATTGATTTTTACTTTTTTTCTCCTGCTTTTCCTTTCACTCTCTCATTTCTTGCCGCCTACAATCCTGGCTGCCTGGGGGGCCTTGGTCCTGGAGGAGCCCCTGCCTCTTCTGTCCCATCACATGCCACGAGGCCGGTCCCTCCACGGACAATGGGTCTCAGTAGTGCAAAGACTCCCCAGAAGACTCTTGAAGGGGCTGGGGGACCCCTCCCCCCTACCTAAGACCCCCTCCCCCTTGGAAGGAAGCAAAGGGACAGCCACGTACAAACAGGGTGACAAGACAGGATAGCCATGAGGGGTCTCCTGGGCAAGCCGCCCACGGGGGGCAGACTTTGGTATGGTCCAGGGGAGCCCAGCTGGGCACAGGTCCAGACTCACACTCTTGTCAGGCTGGGCCTGGTCCGGCACTTTACATTCACTGGTTTTTAAGGTTTGTATTTTTTGCCTTTTTTTTTTCTCCTAATCTCAAAAGGCGGGGTGGGGATCAAGGTGGGGGGCTAGCCAGGGGGCAGCAGCAAGGGTGCTAATCTCTCTCTCCCGGGTCCTGCAGGCTGGCGACCGCTCCAGGTGAGGGCTCCGGCCCCCACCATCCTGCTGGCCCACCGCCATCGTCCCAGGACGCCGTCCCCCCCAACCCCTGCCGGAGCCCCCTCCTGGAGTTACCCCCGCCTGGACCTCACTCATACACAAGCACACACACACATTCACGCAGCTTCACCAAGATGATGGAAATAACAATTTTGCTGTTTTTCTTTTTTTCTTTTTTTTTTTTTTTGTACCAGGCAGTTTAAAAAAAAAAAAAAACACCCCAAAAAAAGAAACCACAAAAAAAAACCCCAAACAACCAAACAAAAAAACTTTTTGCTCTGTCCTTTCTGACCAGTCAGCACGTTCCCCCTCAAATTTTTTTTTTTGTTTGTTTGTTTCCTGAAACGCGAGAATTCAGCAGTATCTTTGGCAACACTTTATCACGACCTTAATTTAAAGAATAAAAATAAAATTGATCCACGTCTATATACAGTATGTGATTGCGCGGAGTTGGGGGGCAGGGCCTGGGCTGGGAGGGCGGGGGTCCCGGCTCTGGGCCCATGCAGATGCTGCGGCCCCCGGGGATGGGCTGGTGGGCAGCAGGAGAGGGGTTAAGGCGGAGTGGGTGGGCAAGGCTGGCGGAAGCTGAGCGCAGAGCTAGGGGTAGGGGTTTAGTGCAATTCCCGAGGAGGTTTGTGTTAAAGTGTGCTCGGCGGGGGTTCAGCCCTTGCCCCCGCTGTAGTCCCAGAGGCCTTAATTCCCCAAGCCTGGTCTCCCCCCACCCGGCCAGGACGACAGCTGTGATTTTTCAGTTGGTTTTATTGCGAGGGGGTGTGTGGGTAGTGGGGGAGAGGGCTGTCCCTTCAGGGAACCTCTCTGGGAGCTGGGGTGGGGTAGGGGTGCAGGTCCCTAGCCTGGGCACTCGAGCTCCCTGTTCAGCTTGCACGGGTGGTTCTCTGAGAGAGCTTGCCCCACGATGCTGGGGTGTGGGCGGGGCCACCCGGCCCTGGGCTCCCCTGCCACCCCCCTCAGGAGGGGGGGTCCTGAGACATCTGGGGGGCTGACAGGCTCAGGGGTGGGGGGAGCAGGAGGAAACAAAAAACTGTCCTGTAGAAACAATGATGAAAGTTGCCTTCTTCAAAAGCTTCCCTTTAAAAACAAGAAAGAGATGAGGTTTGTCACAGAACCAAGGGGCACGGGGTGACGGGCCAGCAGCTAGAGGCGGGGAGCGGGGACACCCCCCGCACCTCTGGCTTTTGACGAGGAAGGGTCTCCGCTCAGCAGAGCGTCTATTTACAGGGCCCCACACTAGGGTTGCATATGCGATGGGGGATGGGTGGGGGGGAGGAGGGTGCCCCGGCCTCTGGCGACACGGCCTCCCCAGCCCTGGCCCCAGTCCGTGGCCTGTGGCTCGGTCAATGCCGGGCCTTTGGGGAGCCAGAGGCTGGGAGGAGGCGGGTGCCAGCCCCCAGGTTACAGTCAGTGCCTTTGAGTAAAAAGAGGGGTGCAGTGGGGGGTGGAGTAAGGCCCTGGAGGTGAGGCCCCCTGTCACCCACCTCGGTGGGGATGGTGTATCCAAGATGGCAGCTCCTCAGTGGCCACAAGGAAGGGCGGCCATGTTGGAGGGTGGGGGGACAGCACGGGTCGGGGAACAAGGGCAGGGAGACGGGATTGCTCCGGCTGGTTGGAAGGCCAGCCCTCTCTCGGGCCCATCCCTGAGCTGGGGAGTCGGTAAGGAGGGTCCCCGCGGACACGGGTGGCCACTGTATGGCTAGCAGGTGAGGAGACGTCTCCAAATCAGAACCCAAAAAGGGACAGAATGGGGCGGGGAGGTGCTGGGGGGGAGGGACACGGCAGAAACACAAAAACCCCGCAGTCCTGCCTGCAAGGCGAGCCCCCGTGGTAAAGCACAAATACCTCAGAAGGCTTCGCCCTCACCCGTGACTTCCTGACCCCCTTCTCACCTCGGGGAACAGAAGTGGATTCTACGTCTGTGGTGGGTTTCTTTTTTTATTATTTTGTACAAAAATAAATCGACTTTTAGGAATTTCTGTTTGCTCTCTCTCGCTCTCTCTCGCTCTCTCTCTCGCTCTCTTATTTTTTTTTTTGTCTTTTTGACTTTTCATAGAAGTTGGTTGCAACTTGTAAACATGTTTTTAAATTAAGAATTAAGATAAAGTGTAGTACCCGTTCTGTTACAAAGTGCCAAGACTTCTATTTGTGGTTGGTTGTCTTGTTGTTTTTTTTTTTTTTTTTCCTTTCATTTTTGTAAAATCTTGTTTTTATTGCTTTTGTGACATTGGAACTTCTGGACACTCTCGCTCCCCACATCCCTGCCACCGTGAGACCCTGCGTTGCCTCTGCTCTTGGCTCTCTCACCCCACAGTCGCCTGCTCCTCTGAGGAAAAGTATATTTTATATATATATATATCTATATATAAATTTTGTTTTTAAGGAGGAAAAGAGAAAAAAAAAATCTAAAAAGTGCTTTTAAAAATCGGGACAGGGCTAGGGGAAGGGGAGAGGGTGAAGACAAAAAGTTTCGAATCTCCAAACGTCTCATGGGGTCTGGGGTGGGCCTGGGTAGGGGGACCAAGACGGGGGTGGCAGGGGCGCCCTGAGTGACGGCCCGCAGGTCCCGCCGGGTTGTAAGTGCCGTGAAGGAAGGCGGCGGGGGCCCTTGGGGAGTCACCCTGGTACCCTCCCCCCACTTCCCCGTCTTCTCCCCTTTCACCACGCCTGGAAATAAATAGATTTGTGTCGCGGTGGCCAGGAGATCCGGGGGACCACAGGCAGGGACGGGAGGCGGGGAGATAGTCGGGGAGACGGAGGGGGAGACCCCCACTTCGGAAGTGCCCTGAGGAAGGAGGGTGGGGGTGCGGATGGGGCCGTTTTAACGTCCGCTCACAGCGGACACAAATCATTTTTAAGGTCTTATCTCAAAAGACTCTAGAAATCAGCGGGGGCGGGGCAGGGCGAGGAAAAGAAAAGCCCCCCCCCCACAGCCATCCCCGGCCCACGCCCCCGTGACCACCCTCACCCCTGCCGGGACCTGGGGCCCTGATCGGGCCTCCGATGGGACCCCAGACCCCGAACTGCGGGGCGCCCGGGGAGCTCAGAATCCTCGTATCCCACAAAAACCCCAAGCTGAGCCCCGAAAGCCATCGACGGGGTGGGGGGCAAGCAGGGCTGGGGGTGGGGTGGGGCGAGGGTCCCCGTGGAGGGAGAGAACATCATGAAGGAGAAAAATCTGAGAAAAGCACTACCCTAGATTCTGTGACGCTTCATATATATATATCTGTATATATATATATATAGATATAGATATCTGTATATAGATAGATTTCTTTTTTTGTGTTTTTGGGGGGTGGTGGGTGATTTGCTCTCTCTCTCTCTCTTTCTCGGGTTTCTGTTTTCTCTTTTTTTGGTTTTCAAGCGAGTCCGGCCGCGAAGCTGCCATCGGCGGTGGCCCCGGCGCCCCCGTCGCCTCCCCCAGCGGCGCCCGCTACATTCAACCTGCCCAGGCCGTCGGGGCTGGCCTCGTCCTCATCCTCGTCCTCGTCCTTAAAGTGCTTCTCCTGGCCATTGCGCCGCGCGTCCGGCGAGCCGGGCGGGGCAGGGGCGCCGGGTGGCACAGGGGCCCCCGGGGCAGGGGCGGGGTCGGGCCCCCCAAGCCCGCCACCCCGCACCCGGGGCTTGCGGCCGCGGCGTGAGGGCACGCCGTTGCAGCCGTCCTTCTTGAGGTGTCTGTGCAGGTGGTCGGAGCGCACGAACGTCTTGCAGCAGCTGTCGCACTGGTAGGGGCGCAGGCCAGTGTGGACGCGCATGTGGTTTTTCAGGTCGTAGTTGTGCGCGAACGCCGCCCCGCACTGCTGGCACAGGTACGGCTTCTCGCCCGTGTGCTTCCTCATGTGCACCTTGAGCTTGTCCTGCCTGTGGACGGGCCGAGGGTCAGCTGGCGCCCGGCCGGGCCCCTGCCCGGGATGGAGGCCCCCCGTCCCCGCCAGCCTCGGCACGGGGAAACCGGGACCCTTGCGGAAAGGTGGGCTGTGGCAGGGGGGGGCCCCGCTTTGGCAGGGGGTGCCCCCGTTTTGCGGGGAAAGGGGGTGCGGGTCCCCATTCTGAGAACAGCACCAAGGAACCCACGGAGGTGTGAAAAGGGGCTTGGACCCCGCTCGCTGTGTGGCCACGGGGAAATGGCTGAACCTCTCTGAAACCCAATTTTTTTTTTTTTTTTTGGCCGCACTGCAGGATCTTAGTTCCCCCACCAGGGAATCAAATCCATACCCCCTGCAGTGGAAGCGCAGAGTCTTAACCACTGGACCACCAGGGAAGTCCCACTCGGGAAGTCCCACTGAAACCCTTTTCTTATGCAGAGGAGGAGGAAGATAACAGGCCTCCCTCCCACCTGGGGCTCTGCCCAGTGGCAGGGGGATGGCTTCACACTACAGGCATTTACTGAGCACCTGCTGCATAGGAGACCCCGTTCCAGGTGCTGAAAATGCTACTAAGCTGTCCTGGCTTTAGCACTGAAAGTTCTGTGTCCTGGGAAACCCCTCAGTCACTGAAAATCCAGGGCAGCTGGTCACAGTAGTAACCAAGTCCCCACCCCAGGGACCCCACCCCCTACCCCCAGTTCCTGCCAGATCTCCCCTCACCTCTGCCTCACTCTGCTCTGGCCACACTGGCTTCCTGGCTGTCACCCCAACATGCTGATAACAATGAGCCTACCTCAGGGCCTTTAAACATGCTGTTCTGGCTACCTGGAGCACTTTTTTCCCTCCCAGATCTTCACAGTTGAATTTCAGCCCAAACGTGATCCCCTCAGAGAGGCCCTCCCAGACTCCCTCAACCCCGGTCCCTCATGCCACCACCTTTGTTTCTCATCTGTCTCCCGGACTGGACTGTGAGCCCTGAAAACAGGAACTGGGTATGATTCCAGGGCCCCTCCATGCCCATCTCACCCACAGGGAACTGTGTGAACCTGGCTCAGCCTGGGGCCTTTGGCCCACAAAGCTGGTCACCATATCAGTTCTGGGGTGACTATGGCCCAGGTGTTGCTCTGTCCCCCTGAGCCCCTGAAATGTGGCTGGTCCAAGGTGAGATGTGTAAGAAGTGCAAAAGGCACCCCAGATTCTGAAGACTTCATTTGCTCAATGTACTGTACAATATCTCATTTATAATTTTGCTTATTGATCACATATTAAAATAGAACTAATGGATTATGTTAAAATATGATTAAAATTACTTTCACCTGTTTCTTTCACTTTTTAAAAATGTGGCTGCCAGAAAATGTAGAGTCACGGAGGTGGCTCACATGATATTTCTATTGTACTATGCTGGTCCATAGTGATGGGGGTGGGTTCCTGCCTGGAATCCACAAGGCAGGGGCAGGGACCTGGGTCTCCAGAGCTCTGGGTAGAATCTGACCTGCTCCTTGCTGCAGACTCTTATGCTCCACTGAGTCACTCGGGGTCTCTCCCTTCTGATGCCCACCAGACTGAGAGCTTCTTCAGTGCCAGGACTAATAAACTCCTACTCATCCTTCAAAGCCCCACCGGAAATGCCCCTCCTCCTCCAGGAAATCTTTCCCAACCCCAAGACAAAGGCTTGCACCCCCCTCCCCCCAGGCTCTTTCAGTCCCAAGTCCCTCCCTCTGGCACCTCCCACAGAGCTGGCGTCCCTGCTTGGCCTAACTTCTATGGCTTCTTACTGTTCTGAGGATCAAGACCTGGCCCTTTGCAACCAGACCCCCTGCCTATTCTCTGGCCTCGTTACACCCCAACGTGAGCCAGCAGAACCTGGGCCGCAACAAACTCATCACTCCCTGGATTAACTTGAGCTGCTACCAGAAAGAGGATAGCAATGGCCAGGCGCTTCCTGCCACCCCCTACCCCGCCTCCTCGGAGCCGGCTAACATGGTCTCCCAGTTGTCCCGCTCAGACCCTGGGGCCAGGTCACGGAGGGAACACGAGGGACTTGGATTATTCTAGCACTGTACAGAGATGTCCCTAGCTGAGGCTTGGAGGCTCAGAGAGGGGAAGTGACTTGCCCTGAGTTGCACAGAGGGTTGGGGGCTGTCCCAATGTGGGGTGGGGGTGGAGGAAGCCCCAGTTTCATCACCTCAAGCCCCGGCCTGGGTAATTATAGCCCCGGCCGCCACAGGCCCTGCTTACTCAACTCTCTAGTGTGACTCAGAGAGGCCCCTGGGCTCCCCAGCCTGGAGGGAGGGGTGGGGGCTGGGGCCCTGGGGGGCAGAGAGGAGCCAGGTGGGCACCTGGGAGGAAGAGGCCTGGCCTGGTGGCCCTCTCTATGCCTCAGTTTCCTAGAACGGCAAACAGGATCAGCCCCGGGTTGAGGGTGGGGTGGCCAAGAGAGCTCCAGGCCAGAAGGTGAAACAGCCTGGCTGAGGGTGGGGGCGTGGGACAAGGTGTCACCTCTCCAGGCTCTGGCTTGCTGGGCCTCCACCAGGCTGCTCCTCCCAGGCTCCAGGACCCCTGAGGGCAGGACCCACAGCCAGCCCAGTCCACCATCTCCACATCTGGAGCAAGAGGGAGGCCCCTAAGACCAGCGGCACCCCGATCTCACCAAAGAGGGGGAGCCAGGCCACCCACCAGGCTGCCTGCCTCCCGGCCAGTGCCCTTTACCCCTGCCTGGCACTCCTGGGCCCTGGAGTCCCAGCCACACCCTCCTCTCCTGGCTTGCTGGGGAGGGGGCCCAGGTGCTGGTCCAGGGGGTCAGCTCCCAGATCCTGTCCCCACAGGGCAGGGCCGGGAAGCTGGGACAATGGCCTCTTTCTTCGGCCTGGGTGGGTGTGGCTTGGGGAACCCCGGGGCTGGTGAGGGTAGGGGGTGATGCTGAGTCACCCAGCCTGGCTAGGCCCCCACATACCAGCCCCCCGCTCCCACTGGGCTGGCCCACAAGGCCCAGCCTGCCACCTCTGGACTCTTAAGACCAGATCGCAAAATCCCCCCAGCCTGGCCTGAAACTCCTCCTGTCCAGGGACCAAGCCCAACGGCTCCCGTGCCCTTTTCCCTCCACTGGCTGTGGCGATTCCCTAAGCTAAACTGGCCTCAGGGCCTTTGCACTGGCTCTTCCCTCTGCCTCTCCCTTTCCCTCTCCCCACGGCTCCCTCCTTCTCCTCCTTCAGCTCTCAGTCCTCAGGGAAGCCTCCCTGTTTAAGGCAGCACCTACAGCCACACCCCGACCCTGTTCTCTGCTCTTTTCCTCCCTGGCACTTTCCACCAACTAGTGTTATCGGTTCTGCGGTTTTATCTTGCACATGCTCTGTCGCCCCCACGGGGATTTTGGCTTGTCCCTCCACTTCTAGAACAGGGCCTGGCACCCAGCAGGCACTCCATAAATGTTGGCTGAATGAAGCAAGTCCCCCGGGCTCAAGGAAGACTTCAAAGTTACCTAATGACCAGAACTCCCTGCTCCCGGTGGGGCTGTCACCCTCTCCCAAGGCCCAAATGCTCCAGTCGGGATGAGAAGAACCACCCAGGGAAAAAGAAGAAAAGCAACTCCTTGGGCCCTTCCTTCCAACCTCACGCAGGTCGGCACCGCCTGGCACGCTTTATGTTCTTGTGGTCACCTTGTTTAGGGCCTGCACGGCACCGCCCACCCAGGCTCTCTCGACAGGCGCATGGGGGTCGGGGGTGCCCCGATGGACAAGGCATCCTTGCAGGGCAGGGCGCGGTGTTGTCTTAGCACGCGGAGGCAGGGTGTGAGCGCGCTCGCGCAGGGCGGGGAAGGGGGTCCCCGTGTGGCTGCTTTTGGGGCAAACGGCCCCCAGGGAGCACCCCCCGCCCCCCGCCCCCCGCCGCGGTGGCGCCGGCTCACCTGGTGAATCGGACCTTGCAGATGTTACACTCGTAGGGCTTCTCGCCCGTGTGGGTCCGGATGTGCCGCGGCAGCTTGCCGGCGCCCTGGATGACCTTCTCGCAGATGGGGCACTTCTGGAAGGCCTTAGCCCGGATCTTCTTCTCTGCCTTCTGCGACCAGGCCGGGTAGACGTCGCCGTCGTGGGCGCCACTGAAGTATTTCAGGTAGTAGTCCACGACGCCCTTGTCATCCGCCCGTGACTCCTCGTCGCTGTCCCCCGCCGTCGCTGCTCCTGCCCGGCCCACCGACGACATCATCTGCTGCAGCAGCGTGCTGGCCGCCAGCCCGTCCGTGTCGGCCCCGTCCCCGTCCTCGCCCTCGGCCGTGCCTGACAGGAAGCCCGGAGAGTCGCCCGGCTCTGGGGCCGCCTCTGACAGCGAGGCTGCCTCCTCCTCCCCGCCCCGGCCATAGTGGCCGTTCTGTGTGGCGGTGGACGGCTGGGCCACTGGGGGTGGGAAGAGGCCCCCGGCGGGGGCGTCGTCATCCCGCTCCGGCCACAGACCTGGGTTGCTATCTCCCTCATCCCCGTCCCCAGCCGGGGGCCGCTCGGCTGGGGGGCCGGGCCCGTAGAAGTCCAAGCCATTGCAGTCGCCGGCAGCCACGGCGGCCACGGCGGCGGCCACGGCCTCCTTGGTGGCGTCTAGGTCATCGTCGGATGCGCCAAAGGCAGACCATGGGAATGAGGCGGCGGCGGCAGGCAGGCTGTTCATGGGGTTGCTCTGGAAGAACTCGAGGTACTCCTTGGCGCGAAGGAGGTTTCGCTGATCAATTTGATCTACGAGGTCCAGCTGGCCGGCATCTGCACCCGCATCGGCCGCCAGGATCTGCCGGTCGAGGAGGTCGGCGCAGACATGGCTCACGGCGGGGATCTCGAGCAGGCGGGCGGCGCTGAGGATGTCGCCCACGTTGGCCGTGCTGACGGTGAGCGTGGCCGTATAGGCGAAATCCATGAGGGCCGTGAGCGCCTCGGCGCTGACGAAGTCGATCTCGTACACGTTCTGCTGGTCCACCACGGCGCCCGACGTGAAGAGCTTCTTGAAGTACTGGCTGCAGGCAGCCAGCACCGAGCGGTGCGTGGGGAACTCACGGCCCTCCACCAGGATCACCACGTCGCACAGCAGGCCCTGCGTCCGCTGCTCGTTGAGTCCACTCAGAATGTCGCTGCTGTGGTCGGGGAACGGGATCCCGATGGGGCCGTCCACGCCGCCGGCCATCTTCCGCGCCGAGACCTGCAGCGCCGGGGAGGAAGGGGCGGTCGTGAGAGACAGGGAGGGCCGGGCCAACTGGCCAGGCTGAGAGGCCCTCAGAAAGTAGTGCCCCCCCTCCCTGCCCCCCCTCCCCCCCCAGCCTCAGTTTCCCCAGCTCTGCATCAGGATGGTCCATGGCTGGTTCTGCATCATCAAAGTGAGAGGATGTTGGCGAAACCCAACTGGGTGCTTCAGAGATGAACACCGGCCCCCCTCCCCGCTTTACGAGAGAGGGGAGTGCCTGTCCAAAGGACAATTTGAAGTGGCGTGGGAGCACACAGAAGGTGCTCAATAAATGCCCGACACAAGTTGTTTCCTAATGAATCTGAGCACGGGATTCTGCCCATGCCCTCTCTAGGAGGCCACAGCGGTGACAATAAGGCACCCACTGTGCGCTGCCCTGGCTGAGCGCCCAGCAGTCCCAGAGGCAGCACCGTCTCCACCGCAGAGGTGAGAAAACGAGGCTCGGGCTCAGGAAGTCCCAGGGCCCCATGGCTGCACCTCAACTCAAACCCAGGGCAACTGACCCAAGAGCCAATATCCAACCAGCATGGCCGTCCATGCCTGCCTAGCCCCTCGGCCTCCCTAACCTTCTCTCCTGCCTCCTGGTCGGGCCCAGTTCTCTTGGGGGGCTCTGACTCAACAGGAAGGGGTAAGGCCAAGACCCAGGGACCTGGCCAGGGTCAGCAGGGCCGTGGGCGTGCCCTGGTGGGGTGGGGCGGTGACTCTGCAGGACAGACCCCTTCCTGCCCTGTGGAGCCCCTAGGACGTGGCTCAACCCTCGCAGTGAGTAACTGGGGGAAACCAGGCCAATGCCTGATGCTCCTCCCTGCCCACTCAAGCTGACCCTGTCAAGGAGGAGTGGGGGGCCAGGGGCCTCCTGCCCACTTCCTGCCTGGCCAGCCCCTCTCCTTTTGGCCACCCTGTTTGCACTGTTCAGCCCGGGACAAGGCCCTGCCACTCTCTGGGCCTCAGTCTCCCCATCTGTCAAATGGGCGGAAGTCTTTGGAAAAGCAGGGCCATGGGGGGGACTCTGTCCCACCCCTCTCCCCCGCCTCCTATTTTCCGCCTTCCCCTGGGCTGTGACTCATCCACCCACTTGGGCGCTTGTGCAACCCTCTGGCTCTGTCCCCACCCCTCCACCCTCTCCGGGGAGCCCCCGGCTGCCCCAAGCCACCCAACAAAACCCACATTCCTCTGGGCCCAGCCAGCCTGCTTTCAGGCCAGAGCCTCTGCGTGTCTTTGGGGAGAGGGCCTGAACCGGGCCTTCCTCAGCCTCCTAAAGACCCCAGGACTCCCAGCTGGGTAACCCAGCTCAGGTCTAACACAGATCCCTCCCACTGTGCCTCTAGTGGGATACAGGCGGCTGGCCCGGCAAGGGAGCTGGGCTTGGTCTGGTCAGTCCTAAGGCCAGGGTAGGCCTGTCCCGACCCAGGGCAGCCCTGCGAATGGGGTCCAGGCCTATGGGGCCGACACAGAGGCCTTTGTGTGGCGTGCAGGCGGCCAGTACAGTTCCCGGGACGCTTCTCTCCGCCACCCGCCCTCTTTCCCGCCGACCGCACCAGCTGCTTAGCTCCCGCCTCTGTTCCGCCAGCCCGCGGTGGGTGGCGGGGCAGGCTCAGATGTGGCTGCTGGGAGCAGGAGGAAGGGGATGGGGGCGCGACCCCCCCCCAAGGCTCGGCCACGGGAAGCCTCGGCAGAGCCCCCTGTGGCGGCTTCCACCCCCTGCCACCATCTGCCGTCTGGCCCCGGGCCCCAGGGAGCGAGTGGGCAGATGGGACTCCGGATCAGACCGGCCTCGGCCCCTCCTCGCCCCTCCTCTGATCCGGGCCACCAACGTGCCAAGATGGCCACCCTGGCCCTGCTTGCCAGTGTCCCCTCAGGGGTCCTCCTGGGGCCTCTAGGTCGAGACCTGAATTGGTCCAGGTGACTCACCCCTCGCCACGGCCCCTCCACCCCCGCCTTCCCACCGGCACCAAGCCCACCGGGCCAGGCGCTGGCACATCCTTACTTCAAGCGTGAAGCTGCCCAGGCTCCCACTTGCTGGAAGCCACCTGGCTGGGAAGGAGCAAGCTCTGGCCTTGAACCTGGCCTGGGGCAATGTACCCAGCCCTGGGCCTGGATCTCCACCAGCTGGAGGAGCCGGGCCACATGCTAAGAGCCTGTTGTGTGGGGCAGCCCTTGGGTCTGGGTTGGGTCTGAGGGTCCGCACCCCTGTCCTTTCCCAGCTGGGGCCTCTATTTCCCGCACATAATCATCTGAGACCCTCCCCCAAAGGGCAGGGCCTGGGGCAATACCAGCCAAGGAAAGCCCCAGGGAAGTAGCATGACCCCCATTTACAGATGAGAACACCAAGGCCCAGAGACAGCTAGAATCCAGGCCAGGGGCACCCAGCAAGGCTGATCCAGGAGCCGACAGAGGCGAGAGGCTGGGGGTCCCCCAACCCTCCCTCCCCGGCACCTCCCAGCCAGCCACAGCCCCTTCCCTGGCCCTGGAAACTAAACTGACCCAACCCTCTCTCCAGGAACACACGCCACCTGCCTGCCACGCCTGGGGCCACTGCCCTCCCCCTGCCCGGGGCCTCTCAGGGCCCTCCCTGTAAGAAAGCAGAGGAAGACCCTGCCAGGTGGGAGGAGTCACGTGGGGTCCAGGCAGCAAAAAGCACCTACTACTGAGCACCCACTGTGCGCCACAGCACCGTCTCACCAGGAGAGCCCTGTGGCTCCCTTCCTGGCTCTAAGAGGCCCTGCTGGCACCTGACACCTAGTAGGTGCCCTGACACGTGGCGGTCTCCTCGGTAATGATGAGCCAACGAAAATTCTCTCCTCCAGGAAGCCTCACCCCCTCAACGACCAGGGTCCCCTGAGCCCAGGCCTGCACCCACCCAGGGCCCCGCGTTTCATCACAGCTCCACCCCGACACTCGCCCCCATGGGATTTCCGGGGCCGTTCGATGCTGACTCGGCGGCTCGGCGGCTGGCCGAGGGGCAGGTCTCAGCAGGCTCTTCCTGGGCTGGAGGTGGGGCGCCCTCCTCCCTCTGGGCTGCTCCCAAGCCACCCTCCACCCCCCGCCCCCAGCCTCCCCTGGGCAGTGCACGGTAGGGGCGCAGCAAACGACAGGAGGAACCAAAGACCAAAGAGCTATGTGCTGGAGAGCCCACACCCAGCCCCACCCACCTGGCTGGCAGGCACACCCAGTACCAGGGGACCGTGCCAGTCCCACCTCCAATCTAACCTAGGGTCACTTGCTGCAGCAGGCAGCAAGGACCCGGGCCTGCTTTTTGCCCTCCCAGGGGGCCTCCTCTGTGCCCTGGGACCTTCAAGAACTAACTGGACCCTGGGCTTTAGAGATGAGGAGAGGCTCAGGGAGGTGTTAAGGCCAGGGCAAGGTCACACAACAGACCGGCAGCCAGGCTGGGACTCAGATGCTCTGACTTGAGCCGGCCTGAGCTGACATCTCTCAACTACTGGGGATGCAGGGAGAGGTCAGGAGCGTCCTGACTTGGTCCCAGGAACAGCAGGTGTCACCCAGGAAGGACCCTAGGATTGTGGGAAAGGTGTCCCAAGCATGGGAAACAGCAGGGACAAAGGCCCAGCGGTGGGCACCTGGGAGAGGGGCAGGGGAAGGAGGCTGGAGAGTCCCCAAGGTCAGGTGCAAGGTGAGGGCTGGGGCCGGGCCTCCTCCTCTCCCCCACACTCCTCAGGGGGTGGCCAGCAGTGGATAGGTAGGTAATTGCCACCTGACGCCTTCCTGGAGGAGTGTCCAGGGATGCGGGCAGCTTAACAGGGGGTTAAGGCCTCCCTCCCTACAACTCAGGGAGAGAATGAAAGGAAACTATATAAGGGACCTCTAACACCTACTACCTGCCACAGCAGCCCGCATCCATATCCTGGCTCCTCCATTTCCAAGCTGGGTGAACCTGGGCCAAGAAAAGCACCTCTCTGTGCCTCATTTTCCTTGGGGGTTGTGACAGTGGCAAAGGGTTCCACTCTCATCCTCTTAGCAAACTTTGGCCTAGGACCTACTGTGTGCCAGGGACAATCCCCAAAGGCCCTATGAGGCAATTTACCCCCTCCCTTGTGGACTGGGGGCTTTGAACTTCACCTCTGAACGTCATTCCAGGAATCCAGCCCCCTCCCCAACTACTGTGTACCAAGGAAATGTGTGGTGAGCCCCAGGAGGAAGCTGAGCCATCATGTGTATGGGGGGGAAAACCAGGCCCAGAGAGGGTAGGCGGCCGCCCCAAGGTCACACAGCAAGTCTGGCGCCCAGGTATGGCTGCCAGGCCAGTGCCCGGCCGCCCCCGCCCCCTCCCAGCCTGGCAGCCTGTGTTGCAAGGTTGGTCCTGACGGTTTACCCCGCCCCGACCTGGTGCCAATCCCCGCCTGGCCGAGTACCGAGGCCGGGGTTTAATGGGACAGGAATGCAACGTCCTGATCAGGAGGTGGGGGACACCAACGGCTCAGGGTGACTGCTGGCTGCCAGCTGTCAGCCTGCCCCCTACCCGCCTGTCCTCGAAGGCCTCCCTCCAGGCCAGACACCAGCAGACAGGCCCTCGGCCATTTTATGTGTCCATTTATTGCCCTAAATGGGGAGGGGCTTCCTGCCCGGGCCTTAAAGGGCCAGAGGCAGGAAGGTTGCAGGCCCAGTGGGAAGTGTGTGTGTGGAGGCTGGTGGGGGTGGGGATTAGGAGGTCATGGGGATCCCATCTGAGCCCCAACTCATGGGTGGGGCTGAGGCCCACCCTGTTCCCACGCTCTGAGTGCTGTCGTGGGCCAGGAAGTACAGCCCCGACACCAAGACCAGCTTCCAAGAGGAAGCCCTGTGAAGAAAGAGCCATTTTCAGTGGAAGTGGAAGGAATAAGCTTCCTGTCACCGGGAGTAACCAAAGCCAGGCTTCAGAGAATCCCATCTGTGTCTACACTGCCCTCAACTCAGGCTGCACCTGCTTATCCAAGATGCCCAGGAGAGGCCTGGGTGACTTCCATCCAGACTGCTCCCTCCCTCCCCTGAGGCCAGCTTGTCACCTGGAGGTGCCTGTACCACCCCCAGCCCCACCCACAGCCTGAGCAGGTGGACTGCTCGGCCTGGAAACCCCAAAGGGGTGCTTGGCCCACTGGGGCCCCAGTGTCCTATGCCTACAAATTCAGCCAGTTCCTTCCTATCAAACACGTCCTGATGGGAGGTGGGACCGAGCCTTGTTTTCCAGTCAAACCAGAAAGGCGTGGGTGAGGACATTTCCACCGAGTGGCCGTCCACAGCCTGCTGGGGGGACAGATGGAGGGGCTGGTCCTTTGGCCAGATTCTCCACAGGGCGCCTTCCGCGCTTTGGTGCTCCAAAGACTCGGGACTCAGGCCGCAAGGGCAGGGGCTGTTCCTCAACAGGGCTTGACGGGGGCCTGGTCTGGATCACCTCAGCATCAATCCTCATAGCTCTGGGAGGAAGGATCTGTAACCACTGCCCCACTTCACAGGCCAGGAAACAGAGGCAACTTGCCCAGGGTCACACAGCAGAGCTGGATTTGAACACGGGTCATCTGTCTGGCTCCATCTGGCCAAACTAACTAGTCCTCCCAGGGTTCCACCCTCCTCCCCCACCACAAACACTGCCCCCAGGTACCAGCAGGGGACTAAATCCCCCCACCCTGGGGGCCTCAGTGCAGGGAGGACAGCTTATTCTCACGCCCCCTCAAAGCTGCCCTGTGATAGCCCAGAAAAGGAAGAGGTTTGCCTGAGGTCACACAGGGAGCCTGGGGCAGGGCTGGAGTCCAGCTGACACCTGTGAACTCAGGGCATCAGAATAGAGATGCAAGAGGGCTCCCCCAGGCCCTGACACCACACAGCAGTCACTCAACAAACATTCCTGGGGAAACACTGAGTAAATCCTCACTTTTGGCCTAAAGGTAATCTCCCCATTGTATCGATGGCAAAACTGAGGTTGGCAGAAGGGAGGTGACCTCCCGAGGTGGACCTCAGGTGGAGCGGAGGGCTGGGCTGAGATTGGACCACGGTGGCCCCCACCCAAGCCTGTTCCTCTGGTCTCCACTGCCCAGGGCTGTTGCAGGGTGGTTTATGGTCTATCAGGTGCCTGGAGCACAAGATGACAGGTGGGGGGGGTGCCTCAGACACACACACCCTCCAGCAGAATCCCTGCTGTGTCCTGAGCTGACCCAGGTGCTTCCTCCATGAGGGAGGCAAGGAAAGGGAACACAGGTGGATCTGCAGGCAGTACCTGGGGGGAACCCACAACCACCTCATTTTACAGAGAAGGATGCTCAGTCTCCAAAAGGCCATGGGGCTTGTCCAAGGTCACAGAGCAAGTGCGCCAGCATTTGATACCCCTGTGGACCCCCTCCTCGGGCCAGCTCTGCTTCAGAGGGGCTGGCCTTGACTCTTGGCTCTGGGAGGTGACCCGGGTCTCCTCGGAAATAATGGGTTGTAAAAACACAGAGCCCTGCCAGTCTACAGGGGCCAAGGTGCCAAGGGGCGGGGCTGCAGCTCAGATGGGGTGGGAAGGGCCTGCCTCAGAAGGCTGGGAGGCAGGGAGGCTGAGGCCCCTGCTGTGTGACCTTGGACACCTTGCTGCCCCTCTCTGAGCCTCACTGTCCTCTTGGGGCAAAGGCTCCATGTGGCAGACAGGTGCCTGCTGTCAACCTCCAGGCCCTCTGGAAGACAGGTGGGCCGGCGCCCCTCGGCTGTGACACACAAAGGACTTTGGACGCGTTCTAAACTAGAAGGCAGGACCACAAGGGTCAGACCCAGCTCTGGCTGGGTGACCTTGGGCTGCTCTCTGCTTCCCCCAGGGCCTCAGTCTTCCCTGCCCCACAAAGCACCACTCTGAGCCTTGCTCTAAGTCCCTGAGGCCCCACGCTAGCGTCTGGCCTCCCCTCCTGGTCTCAGTTTCCTCGTATGGCATCGGGGACCTCCACCAGCCCGACCAGCTTATGGGTCAGAGGGTTCCAAGGAAAAGAAGGGAAGGAAAAATGCCAACACAAGGTATAGCTATTGCCTCGAGAACCTTCCCCACTGGACGAAGGCTGAGCACTGCCGGGCCTCAGTCTCTCACACAGATAAAAGGGTGCATGGGCTCCCCGCAGCCACCGGCTGCCGAGGGCCTCTGCTGAGAGTTGCGTGGCTCCCCGCCCGGGCCAGGGTGCTGACTGGCCACCACGCAGCCAGTCAGCCAATCAGAACTGAATAATAAATACCCCCCCAAAGTGACCCACGAATTAAAATTTCAGTGTCCCCGTTGGCTCCTCTTTCCTTCATTAGGCATGCGGATCCCAGGGCTTCGCTCTTCCAGCCACTGGCTCCTGCCCCCCCTTCTCCCCTAGGCTCCCGTCTCCACAGCGATGGCTGGCGGTAAACAGAGCCCCGAGCCCAACCGATAAGTGCCAGGCCCCACCCGGGGTGGCCCTCGGGGGAGAATGTCCCCCTACCTGGAGCCTCCGGGGCCTGGGCAGCAGCAGGGCCTAGCCTGGACTCCCCGGACCTCTCCCAAGACCAGCTCTGCCAGTAGGAAGTGACCGGCTGGTCCTGGGGAGGGCCCCCCAGTGTGGGAGCGGCACACTCAGGGTTACGCCCTGGCCCTGTTGGGGTGGGGGTGGGGGGCTGACATGGAATCCTGGACGCCCTCTCCGGCCGGGCCTGCTCCGGCCCTGGTCCGGGAGGCAGCTGGCAAGGAGAGGGGGGTGGAGGAAGCCAAGCAAGCCCGCCACCCATGGGTGAGCCAGGTGGGCACACCCGGTGGAGGGGCACCAACACCTCTCTCACTTCCGTCGCCTGGCTAGGGGGAGAGAGGAGTTGCCTACCTCCCCCTGCCACCCCGCCAACTGCTGGCTACATTCCCCAAACATTTAGTGGGTGCCCACAGGGTGCCCGGGCCTGGTTGGACAGCAGTCTCTTGCCGCGGTCCACCGGACTCCCTCGCCGCCGGCCAGCGAGCGCGGACAGTGCCTCCCAGGACCCGCAAAGGCCTGGGCCCCGGCGGGTGCACTGGCCCCAGCTCAGGCCCCTGCCTGGTTCCCAGGCCCGGGGCTGGGGGAGGGGGCCGGTTCCTAGGCCGGGGAGGGAGGCAAAGCGAGGGAGGGGGCCGGATCCCACCAGTTCACCCCCTCCTCTGCCCGGGCTCAGGGTTCGCACGTGGTGGTGGCGTCAAGGGGAAGGAGGGGTGTCCGGGCCAGAGGAGACGGGGTCACGCGCTGTGGGGGCGCGGGCGGGGGACAGGGGTGCTCTCTGCTCCCTACCCCGGGGCCGGGGCCGGACGGCCGCGCGGGCAGGGCGAGGGGCCAGGCCGGTCCCCCCGCCCAGGGCTGAGTCAGGCCCGGGCGGGGGCA